TCTGACGGATTCGAGGCACCTTGTTGACACAGAACGCCCTGTTAGGCACTGCAGGCCCCTGAACGATACATGAGTCCGACCAATGTAAATCGCGAGCACGGCTTTGTCCCTGCTTAAGAAATGGGCCCGCAGAGCCCAGACCAACACGGAGCCGACTGTTCGTCGCTCGTGATTTCTGGCTGAAATAGAGGAACGCCCTGTTCAGGGAACCCTATCGGTTCAAGAGACCATCGCGATGACATCTGAGATCGCGGTCCTACGGGCGCGAGTTCTTAACGTCACCTACAGCCAGCCCTCCGGCCTCTTCAGCCATCCCATGAGGCCCTTGATCTCTCGTTTCCAGAGACCCCTCGGCCCCTCTTCGGGCCACCCCAAACACTGCTCTGACCCGGGTCAATTTCCGCCACAGGACCTCTGTTCGGCACTGTGGTCCTTAACCGAGACTGGAGTCCCTCATTGTGCCAGGAACCCCGAGCATTGCAAATCGCCGGGCCAGCCTCATTTCTGTTTGGAAAATGGGTCTCAAGGGCTCAGACGGACACGGAGTCGACTGTTCGGTGTTTGTGATCTCTGACCGGCGTAGAGGCCCGCAATGTCTGAGGGCTTCCTGAAACCGTGCAAGAGGACCTCTGAATGATACTTGAGGTCACGACCCCACAGACCACGATTCTTTTTGTGACCTGCAGCCAGTCCTTCGGACCGCTATACCCTCAAACTGGACTCTTGTTCGTCGGGTCCGGTGGACCGCCCGGGCCCTTCTTTGGACCTCATCGAATGCTGCCCTTGGTCAGACCGGAGCCCTTGCGAGCGCAGGGCCCTCTGTTCGGCGCTGTGGGCCCCTGACAGATGCATGACCCCGACCAGTGTAAATCACTGGCCCCCGCTTTATAGCTGATTAGTGAGTGGTTCCTCAGGCCCATATCGACACGGAGCCTACTGTGTAGTGCGGTGTTATCTACCCGATAGATAAGTCCAAATCGACTCAGGGGTTCCCTGATCTGCGCAAAGGGCGCTCTGAACATTATTTGAGGGTCAGTTTTCGCAGGTCGGGGCCGATGAATACGACTTCGAGCAGCCCTTTATGGCCTAGACCCCCCAATCACACCCTTGATCGTCGGACCCGGTGAGCCCTCTGGGGCTTTTGTGCCTCCTCGAACACAGCCTTTGGCAGACTCGGGGTCCCTTGACAACACAGAGCCTCTGTTAGGCGCTGTGGGACCCCGAGCAATGTAAATCGCTGTCTCCGGCTCTGTCCTTGCTTGGGAGATGGGCACTTAGGCTCATGCCGCCACAGAGCCGACCGTGCGTTACCGGTGGTGCCTGGGTGAAACATAAGCTCTTATCGACTCATTGGGCCTATGATGAGTGCGCAGGGCCCTCTGGCCGGCATTAGTAAATCGAGCCCTCAATCGTCCATTCCGAGGTCGCTTCGTGCCCCGCGGAACCTAGGGGGGAGGGGGGGGTGCATGTGCTCCTTGTTCCCCCTGCCTGCGTTACTGCACTAGAGTATGTTTTTGAAGCATGACCCAAAGGTGGGACACTCCCTTTCAACAAGTGCCATTTAAACAGCTCCGAGCGCTGTTGCAGGAATCCGAAGTGCTATTAAATGCCTGTCAGTCAGGACCGTAGCTGTGGGGGTATTTCGGTGCTCTCGGCGTGCCCGGGCTGCTGCTGTCTGTCACCAGTACCCGCTGCGCGCTGCTGTGCTCCTCTGATCTTGGTCGGCTTGGCAGGTTGCCAAAAGGACCATGAAGTAAACCTTTCGTTATATTCAGTTTCACGGGGATAAAACGTGTTTTTCTGTTTGCTAGGTATTAAATGCATTGCAAGGTACACACAAGCATTGGAAATTCGCCCAACGAATTCGCCCAGCATTCACCCAACAGTTTTCACCCAGCAGTGACAAGCGTGTTTGTCGCATATTCGTGGCTGTGGTGGTTGTACAATACGACCAACGGCAGCGTTAGCAGGGGCGGATCCAGGATTTCGTCAAGGTAGCACGCAGCCTTGTGGGGCCCCCTTGAGTTTGGGGCCCCTGCAAAAAATCATCGCATTACAGCCCTTAAATTTCAGGATTCTTAGCATTCCATTTTTGTATGGGAATCAATCTTACTAGCGTAACCCTGGCAGACTAGACGTGTTACGTATGCACATACATAAAGTTTATTTATTCACTTTCTCCAGTTCATGGTGAATTCTGTCATTTTGAGGCTAAGTATTTCGGAAAACATGGCAAAATAAACTGAGGTTGGCTGCTGAATACCACCAAAATCAAGCACGAACTTGATTCCTGGCTTATTTGCGGCTACCCAGCACGTCGATGTGTCCAGCTGATGCCTGACAACTTGTGTAGAGGTTTCGCTTTATTTGTTGTGAAGGAGTACAAAGAATCCTGGTATTCAAAATATATGAGGAGCATGATACACAGGTGTAGCAAGTGTCATAAAATAAAAACCGGCGGAAATGACACAATACGGTGTTGGCGACATAAAATTATGTTCGACAGTTGCGCATAAAAATCAATCGGCGCACGGCTGTTGCCCTAAGGCCAAGGCACCAAGACCAACGTAGTGGGCCTCGGAACGATCGGGAATGCCCAGACAGCCTGAATTATGGGATCCCGGTCAGAGCGCAGGGCCCTCTAAGCAAAGGGAAATTGCCCAAGACCAATTTACATGAATTAATGCCCCTGTGCGATCAAGAGTGCCTGGTCAGATTAACAGAAAGGGCCCGATGGGAGTGAGGGGTTCTCCGCAAATGAGATCAAAGGGAAGAACCCTACATGAATGTAGAGGGCCCCTGAGCACCGAGTGTCTCGGCGCCTAACCTCATGTGAGCCCTAGCAATAGCACAAGGTCTCACGAGCAACAGGAAAGAAACCGGGACTGATATGAAGGGCCCCTGAGCAACTGAGTGCATCCCGGCAAATGGGAGCCGGCAAAAGTGTAAAAAGCCTTCCGGGAGAATGGGAAGAGCCCGTGGAAGGCCCCTGGTTGACAAGAGTACCCCGGCACGCAGCACAGTTACGGGTCCCTTCGGAGCCTATGGATCCCCTCGAGGATCACGGGGGAGCATGGTCCCGTCCCCCTCCCCCTCTGGATCCGTCATCGGTCGAAGCATCTCAATAGATGGCGCCCCGATAAGAACATAAGGTCATCCGCTCAAAAAAGTACTCAAGACCCGATGTGGAAGGCCCCGGGATGATCGAGCGTGCCCAAGCAGGTTAACAGATAAGGGGCCGCCGACATGAATATGGGGCCCTCCCCTCAAAATAAGAAATACCCACGACACAATCTGGAGGGACCCTGAACGACTGGGCGTGCCCGAGCAGGGTATCATAAGGGGCTCCGACAAGAGCGAAGGGCCCTCAATTCATATACGAAGTACCCATGGCACAATGGAGAAGGATCCCGAACGAGCGAGTGTGCCCGAGCAATTTAGCAGATGGAGCCCCGATTAACGTATTGGGCCCTTCATTCACATACGAAATACCCATGGCACAATGGAGAAGTCGCGCAACCGAGTGTGCTAAAGCAGGGTAACAGATAGGGCCCCTGACAAGAGCGTAGGGCCCGCCACCCAGCTAGAAAGTACCCGAGATCCAATTTAAAGGGACCCGAACACTCGAGTGTGCCCGTGCAGGTTACCAGATAGGGCCTTCCATAGGAGCGAAGGGTCCTATATTCGAAGACCAGAACCCAATGTGCGGGGCCGCCGACCAATCCAGTGAGCCCGAGCATATTAACAGATGGGGCCCCCGACAAGTTCGCAAAGCCCTCCATTCAAATAGGAAGGCCCTCCACGCAAAAGCTAAATTGGAGAGCCCTAACGACAGGTGACCCTGACAAGAGCGTAGGACCCTAAGGACGTGACAGAGAATTCGAAGCGCCCTAGACCAATGCAGGGGACCAATGAGCATATCGCGAGCGCGTCGGTAAACCAACGTGAAGGGCCCCTGAGCAACCAAGAATACCCACGGGAAGAATCCGTGGAAGGCCCCGGATTGACAGGACTACCACGGCACGTTGTTGGCAGGATTCATCAACAGCGCAGGACCCTCGAACAAATGCAGAGGAATCAACGTAAAATTAACGAAAAGGCAATATAAAAGGCTCCTGAACGATCGGATCGAATCTGCACGTGGGCGTATGGAGTGCTCGGAAGCAGCGTAGGGTAGCGTAGGATAGCGAAATGAGCTTTAAAATCTCCCGATCACACTTTCGCTTGCGGCTGTTCTTGGCTGCCCGGAAGTCCAAAGACGTCCAATTTTGTTGCGTGGTGTGTTAAAAATTACGTTTCTTCGGCCAGTTATAGCCCCTTCGGAGCCTATGAGCCCCTTCAGGGTCCAAGGGGGCATGACCCCGTGCTCCCCCCCCCCCACACACTGGAGCCGCCCCTGAGCAGTTCTGCCTGATTTCCTGACTCCGGTTTACTGAGACGTTTTTGCTCTTTTTACCCCATTCTAAGCTTTCCACGAGATGGCAGCACTTATTACCTAGAACGAGGAACTCTGCCTCCGCAGGAAAACAATTCTGAATCCACAAAACATTTAGGATTTTTGTTTTAATACCGGGGATGCAATTTAAAGTGACTGAAACCCTGAGAGAAATCAGGCTTTCGGGAAAATGAGAACCTTTCCAGCTGAGCCCCCAACCGATTTTGGAAAGCGACACCCCTGCCCAGAGCTGTGAGAAGTCAGACATTTCAGAGTTTTTCACGTCAGGTTAGGTAACATCTCTTCGTCTGGCGTTCAAAGAACAAAAAAGCATGCAGAATAGCTCATCCAGCGGAGGTCGCACCTGTTGCCAATAATTACAACTATGAAAAATTATTGCGACTCCTTAAACCATTCCATGCAAATATTTGGCTTTTGTTGGCCTGCACTACCATGCTACACATCTCAGCACACACACAGTTCAGTTTTCATGGCAGGATCAAAGTCAGCGCCCTCGAACCACGACTGTTCCGAGCAAAGTTCAGGGCCGCGATGGACAACTCACCTGCGGTTCGGGCGGAATCAGCCGGAACCGCTCGCCGGTCTGATCCGTCCTGATCCAAACCCTGATTCCGATGCTGGTCCGTTCCGTTCGATATGCTTTACCAGCTTTCAGCTGCTTGAGCACCTCCAAAATGGCGGATGAGGCAACCTTCCCGTCGCAGTTTGTTTGCAACAGCAAAGCACGACTTCGTTTGCAGCGACCACGCCATGAGTCATACCTGCCAAGGGCGTAGTGTCGTGGAATGAGTTGGGATGGTGGTGCTGAGAGTAAAAATTAGCGCATCCTACCTGAAAGTTACGCCATCAAACGTTTCTCCCTCGTCTCAGGAGCCTCGTCCCCCCCCCCCCCCCCGCCTAACTAGCTGAATATGGAAACACGACACGAGGGGAATGGTTTATTTCTTGGCTAATGTTGAGCACTTTTGTGACAAAATCTGCTGATTTTCTGCCATTTTGCGTCATTTCTGCCATTTTCATTGTGCGCCATTTCTGTCGGACTAACTTTACGCCCTGGCCTTGGTGTGCCCGTGGTCCCTGGCAGCGAGCCAGCAGCCGTACTGCGCAGCATGTATGTTGCGGTATTTTGCTGACGGACTATTTGATAGCGTCTCTATGGCGCAACTCGCGGATAGGGGCGCAGCAAGTCTTTGAAAAGGGGTGGCTCAGGGTTGGCACACAGTCCCTGATGCTGAAATGCCCACCCCCCCCGCAAAGCGGAGTGGCCCTCTTGATTTCAAGCGGGCACGATTGTCGGGCTCGGTCACGTGTCAATAAGCTGAAGGAAGCCGGTGTAAAATGACCGCGTGGAATAAATCGTTGGCGCTATCCATTTTGCAATGGTTCAGTGGATTCTATCTAAGCCAATAGCACACAGATGCTTTAGCAGGATTGTTACGGGTCCCTTAGAAATATTGAAGACACTGGGAACGGAACGGTGGATCGATATTGAGTGGAACATGCGTATCAAGATGACCACCTCGCGTTCGTTTTAAACACCCAAAGTCGAAGTCAAAATATCATACAACATAGTTTTGAACATGCACGGTCGCTCGCAAGCCTTCAACACGCGCTCGGGTGGCCGGCTGGATACCCTTCGCTCGGGTGGGGGGTCAATTTGACCCCCTAAGATTTCAGGGACTAAGAAATCTAGAGACACGAAATTCACAGGGTGTGTTGTCCTGTACGTGAACTCACCTAGGTCAAAATATGACGTTCTTAGGTCATGACCTTCGGGTTAAATAAGGCCAAATTAGGTCAAATTCCAGGTTCGTCTCCAGTGCCCCCAGATCCTAGATAACTGTAAGCAAAAGATCACATGCTCAATGAAGTTCAGCGACGCTTGACCTTTTGCATGTCGTGGTGAGCAAAATCATACAATACGGCGCTGAGTTTTGCATTTGAATAAGCGACAAATATGACGCTAGGCAGTATGTTCCTAGAAGCAAAATGTTGAATTGGGTCATTTTAGGTCAATGGCCTATTCTGACCGCTAAGAAGTCCATGGAGGATGCATAATGCGGTTACTGCTACCAATAGATTCGAAGTGAGCGCCAGAAACTATCCCAAGCAGCAACCTTAGAGTAATAACACAGGTTGTTTTTTACCTTGGTCTGACTGATACTCGACCTTAGATCAAAGCAATTGGTACGTTCAATTGTTGTGTTGCCTTAAAAAGCATCTCAGAGATGAATAGCTTCGTCTAATACTCTACTGTTGCATCGGGTTGAACGATTCCTGAGAAACTGACTTCGTTGAAACCATGTCCTGACTTTGAACTGCCGTAGGTCAGCGGCCTTACAAGGTGCATCCAAATTTCTAATACCAAACGATTCACTATTCAATTGTCTATAGCTACGCAAAATTTGGCGCAGCTACGCCGCGCCATTCGGAATCCATTCCAGAAAACCTTCGGGGTCAATTTGACCCCCACCCGAACGCGTGTTAAAGCAAATAACCCCGACGCCCAGTGATGCGGTCTTCACTGGGCGAGCGGCCGCCACCTCGCTTTGTCTCTCAGCTGTTTGCAGGCAGAGGCGTGAATGATGGATTAACAACACTATTTAGATCCGGCCCTACGTTGCTGCTATCACTTGATGTCCCGCGAGCTGATCAGTACGTGCACGCGGCACCGACGGATATGAATTCCTAGTTCGCTCATTTGTTCCCGTAAAACTGACTTCATTTTAACTTTGATGAAGGCTAAATCTAATTTCACAAAACTGGCTTAAAATTTGTTCTAAAACAACTATGCACGATGCCTCTAAACGTATTTCGTTCCTTCGACTGTCATATCCTGGCGGTGCAACAGTGTACAATCGTAGCATGACCTACTCTCTCCGTTTTCATTGCTGGTCTCGATATTCGGAGCAGGTTGTGTTCACAGTCCAATAATAAATTTCGTTTTACGTTACTGATCACAGCACGTCGCCCCGCCGCGCATACGATCACAGCACGTCGCCCAGGCCGCGCGTATGATCAGAGCACGTTGCACCGGTCGCGCATATGATCAGCGCACGTCGCACCGGTCGTGCATATAATCAGCGCACGTCGCACCGGTCGCGCATGACCACAGCACGTCGCACCGGTCGTGCATATGATCAGCGCACGTCGCACCGGTCACGCATATGTTCAGCGCACGTCGCACCGGTCGTGCATATGGCCAGAGCACGTCGCACCGGTGGCGCACATGACCACAACACGTCGCGCCGGTCGTGCATATGATCAGAGCACGTCGCACCGGTCGCGCATATGACAAGAGCACGTCACTCTGGCCGCGCATATGATCAGAACACCCCGTCCCGGCCGCGCATATGATCAGAGCACGTCGCACCGGTCGCGCATATGATCAGAGCACGTCGCACTGGTCGCACATATGACCAGTAAACACAGTGACATCAGGCGGCGGCATGCCCATTGCATTTATTGTTCCAAACACATCCAGTGAATCATTTGGCTGCACTTCATCTCGTGCCCCAAGAATGGGTGCTGCACTCTAATACAGCGGTCGTAAGCTGGTCAAGCCGCACGCTCCTGAAGACTGTGGAGTATTCGCCTAACTATCGTTCTGTCACATGTCATGCAGATGCAGTACATCAACTATAAAATCGACTAAAATGCACTGAAACGGAACGACCCATCATCTAAAACACGCTCCTTTGCACACATGAATATCTCGCCACTGCACAGACGAGGCGTAGGATAAGCCACACTGAGCACGTAAGCACGGCTTGCCGCCCGCTGCGCCTCCCCCCCCCCCCCCCCCCCCCCCCTTCCGCTCGCTGGCGACTCTGTGAGGTTTTCACTCAGCTTGCGCTGGCGCTGCTGGGCGCCCCGTCTGGTTCCCCACTGCTACAAGATGACGCTGAAGAGGCTGTTGGACTGGCTGTCCTCGGCGAGGGAGGAGAAGCTGCGAGACAGCTTGGTCCGCTTGGCGTCTACCGGCGGTGCGGTAGGCGCCTTTCGCTTGGTCTGTGGACAATGACGACGATTATGGTGGTGGAGGGACCAAGCGGGTGGCGAATTACGCAAGGTTCGCGCTTTAAACCTACAGACGGAAGCGGCTTATCCGGTGTGCATATAATAGCGCAGTATGTACATCCAGGTTGACGGGTGAAGCGGGAATACCCGGCACAGCTCTCTGACACCTGTCTCAAAATCCACCGATCTCCGAACAGGCACAAAATTGAAGCTTTAGCCTGTTTTTTCTCGCACAGCCCAAATATTAGTGGGTTATTTGATATCCTGTAGGTAAACAACGTTCACCTGGCGGTCGGATTGGGCTCCAGAATAGCGCGGCCGTGACCTCGTTTTCGGCATGGCCAGCGGTGTGCCTCACCTTCTCCTCGACGGTCTGCCGGAACTCCACCTCCAGGTCGGGCTCCGCCTCGGGTGGCGCATCTCGCTTGCCGACGGAGAAGGTGCGGTTGGTCGAGCTGCGGGACGAGGTGCCGGCCGGCAGGCTCAGGGAGCGGGCCGTGCTCACCAGCCGCTCCAGCGCTTCCCGGCCGCGCCGCAGGAACGAGCCGCGCGACACCTGGCGGCCAAACGCAACGATGCTAACGACACCTATCGGACGCCAAACAAGACAGGTTCGGGCGATAAAGATGGCGGCCTGAGGGAACTGCGGGATGGGAGATGAACACTCAAATCATCTAGAATGGGCTCCTGGTACCTTAGCCTTTGTTGAAGCCTTACGAAGCGGTTCGTTAGCTTACACGTAATGTGTTGTTCAACTTTCATTTACACGTCCAAGCCAAGGCTACGGAGTCTAGGGGCGGTTCGAATCTAGCACAGGTGGGGCTAACAAACACTAGATAGCACGATTTCGCGTAACTCATCACTTACTGTGTCCATGCATCACAATGACGCCCATGGGTTTAGGAAAATGGAGCAGAGACGTAATGCCCTCTCCCACTTTTTGGGGCTGCTAAATATGACCCAAGTTCCAATGCGTGAGAAACATGGCATTCAGAATTGAAACTGAAACTGATTGAAACTTCCGCCTCTCGCCCTCTCCACTAGACTTCGCCAATATATCCGACAGAGGGATAATCCGCTCTCTCGCTGGCCGGCGGGCTCAGTCAGACAGCAGAACTCAATATTTTACTATCTTCCGGTGAATAGAAGGAACGCGGGGCCCGGACAACGACGATCGTTTCCTTGCGGCGGTATTTCGTGTATTAGAAGAGCAAAAGGACCACTCATATTTCAACCCAACAGACTATAATCGAAAGAAATGAAAGAAGCTGCCATGTAAGAGGGCCAGGCCAACTGCTGCCAGGGCCAACAACAGGCATGACTACTACGAACACTTACTGTCCCAGTGCACCGGCTTACCTTCCTGTGACCGTAACCATCTCAGCGTGCCCCCCATCTGGGGACAGACTGGCACTGTTCCATTTGGAGACAGACCGCTATGCACTTCAGAGAATGTATGGATTCCGCATATTAGTGCACAGACAAAATACGTTTAACTTAATCGAAAGGCGTTTCCTCTTCTCCCGCGACCACCTGCGGACCTCAGGTGGAGCCCGCGACACTAGGTGGTGCTGGCGACACGGCGCCGGTCCGAGCGGCTTCCTCCAGCGCCTTATGACTCGGTGTCGGCCGGCGGGCGGCGCGCGCCCTCCACGTCCGCCACCGTGTCGGGCAGCGGCCGGCCGGCTGTCTCTGGGAGCAGGAGCGCGGCCAGCCCAGCCAGCAGGCAGCCGACGCC